GAAAGATTTAAAAAGGACCTACGTGTTAACATTTTCACGCAGAGGGTGGTGCATGCATGGAGTGAGCTGCTAGAAGTAGTGGCAGAGGCTGGTACAATTACAACATTTAAAGGGCATCAGGATGGGTTCATGAATATGAAGTGTTCAGAGGGATATGGGTTAAATACTGGCAAATGGAACTAGATTAGTTTAGGATGTCTGGTCGGCACGGACCAGTTGGATCAAAGGGTTTGTTCCCATGCTGTACCGCTCTATGACTATGTTGGTATGGTTCTTATGTGCCTCATCTTCACAAAAGAGTGGATTGTCCACAGACCTCTGAAGGTAGCAGGACAAATAAAGAAGGTGTTTAAAGAAGGCATATAGAATCCTTACATTTATAACTGAAGTATAAAGTATAAGTGTAAGGTGGTTATGATGGAACTATATAAATCATCGTGCAAGCCATAATTTGCCTTGAGAGAGCATTTATGGTCACCTTATCACAGAAAGCATGTAATTGCACTTGAGAGGGTAGAAAGAAGACTTAGGTGAATGTCACCAGAACTGGAAACTGCAGCAATGATAAAATATTGGATACGCTGAAGTTGCTTCCCTTGGCAGTGGTGGTGAACAGGAGAATCATTTGAAATGATAAAAATTGTTGACTTCCATTTTAAAACCATCGCAATCCATTTGGTATAGGTAAACTTAAAGTGCTGTTCAGGACAGAGTTCCTGGATTTGCCCAGTTACACTGAAGGAACAACAACATTAAAAAATGTCATTTAAAACCTTTAAACCCTACTCATTCACCTTTCTGGTAAGGTTAACAGATCCTTGCCATTCTCTCTACCCAGAACCGTCAATTTTGTCCATTGTAATCAAATTTCCTCTCAGCATTCTCTGCCAAGGAGAGCAATCCCAGCATATCCAATCTCTTCTCTTAGCTGCATTTTCCAATCAGAAATCTCCTCTGTATCCTCTCCAGTTCAATTACATCCTTTCTGTAATGAGCTGACCAGAAGTGCACACAGTAGTCCAGTTGTGGCCCAATTAATGATTTATACACTTTCATCATAATCTCACTGCTTTTATACTTTAGACCTCAGCTCATAAAAGAAAGGATTTCATAAGCATAGAAGAAAGATTAGAAAGGAGATGAGGAAATTGGTTTTTACCCAGAACCTGGTAGGCATCTGGAACTCACTGTCTGGAAGGGCAGTAGAAGCAGTAACAGTCAAATAATTTTAAAAAGGTGCCTGGACGTGCATCTCAAGTGCTGCAAACTGCATGGTTATGACCAAATGTTGGCAAGTAAGATTAGGCTTGGTGGCTTGGCTAGGGGCTTCTTTCTGCGCCATAAAATGTCTAAGTTTCTAGTGAAGATGACTTTGCAAGGTTACTGGGCTTAGTGCGTACCTGTCATAGAATGAGTATAAATCAGTGAGAAACATAAAAATGGACTGTAAGTGGTCCTACAAGTTTGTAAGAAGGAAACGATTAGAAGCAGAGTTCAGAGAATTTAAAATGGGAAATGAGAAAATGACAAAGAAACTAAACAAACACTTTGTGTCAGTCCTCATGGAGGAAAATTAGGGTGCATTGGATTGGGGGGAATATCTGACATGGTTAATGGACAGAAAAACAGACTGCATAAATAATTGGGTCATTCTCAGATTGGCAGGCTGTGACTAATGGGGTGCCTCAATGATTGGTGCTTAGGTTCCAGCTATTCACAATCTCTATCAATGATTTGGATGTGAGGATGAAATATAATATTTCCAAATTTGCAGATAATACTAAACTAGGAAGGTAGGATGCAAAGATGCTTCGAGGGAATTCAGACAGACTAAGTGAGTGGCCAAAAATTTGGTAGATAGAAAAGAACGTGGAGAAATGGGAAGATAACCACATTTATAAGAAAAACTGAAACATAGCATCTTTCTTAAATGGTAAGATATTTGAAAGTGGCAACGGTAAAGGGACCTGGTGTCCTCATTCATGAGTTACTGAAATATAAAATGCAAGCACAGCAAGTAATTAAGGTGGCAAATGGTATGCTGGCCTTTATTACAACTGGATTTGAATACAGGAGTAAAGATGTCTTACTACAATTACATAGAGTCTTTGTGAGACCACATATGCTGTATACAGTTCTAGTCTCCTTACCCATGAAAAGATATATAAGCCTTTGAGAACAAGTGACAAAAGAATTCCTGGGATGAAGGAATTATCCCGAGAAAAATGCTAACCATATTCAGGCTTTATTCTCAACAGTTTAGAACAATAAGAGATGATCTCAAACATACAAAATTCTTACAGGGATTCACAGGGTAGGTAGAAGAAGGATGTTCTTCCTGGTTGAGGGGTCTAAAGCCAGGAGAGATAGTCTTAGAAAAATCAGGCAAGCCACTTAAGACTCTGACGAGGAGGAATTTCTTCAGTGAAAGAATTGCAAATCTTTGAAATCCATAACCCCATAGGGCTATAGAAGCATAGCTGTTAAGTATTTCAAGAGAGAGATTGATAGATTTCTACACATTGAAAAAAGTAAGGAATACCAGATGGTACAAAATAAGTAGAAATTGAAGAACAACCATAATTCCATTGAATGGTGGAGCAGGCTGAATGGCCTACTCCTCTTCCTATTTATTATGAGCTTTGTGTCTCTATCTGATACTTGCTTGTCAGTCTGGTTTAATTCACTTTGTGCTTTTTCACAATGGTTTGATCGGCTATTCCAGAGAGTAATTAGGAGTTAATCAAATTACTGCTTATGCAGTTTCACAAAGGACAGACTGGGTAAAGTTGGCAGATTTATCTATCCAAAAGGACAGCAGTGAATCGGCTGGGTTGCGATGACTAACTGCTAGTAGTTTCATGTTCGCTAGATGGAAATACTTGGTTTTAATTCCAGATTTATTGAAATAATTGAAGCCAATTCCATTTTATTTTGTTGGATTTAAACCTGTGCTTGCGTCACAAGTTCAAGACCTTGGATTAGAACATAGAACTGTACAGCACAGTACAGGCCCTTCTGTACGATGTTGTGCCGTCTAGAAGTACAATACCATGCCATACCATACTGTCTTGTTTAACATCAAAGGGAAGCATTAAATGATCAGCAGATTGAATTACACATCAGTTAATAAGATGCTATCAACAGGTACTAGAATGAAGTCAACGGAGAGTAAAATTGGGTGGAATATAAAGCAGGGGTTGAATGTGAATCTACCACATGCCCTCTGGGCAGCCTAGGTTACAATTAACCCAATAAATTTTATTTAGACCCCAAATGTAACATATTTTTTGAACAGAATGTAAATATAACATCTGCTTCTAACAAGCACAAAAAAGTTTGGATAACTAACTTTCTATTATTTGTAATAATCAATTAGTGCTTCCCAAGAAAGATATTTTTATTAATCTGCATTGGTCTGAGAGAGAGAGAGAGAGACAGACTAAAGTTCTGCTCAAAATGGCCATGAAAGGCTATCACCCAAGGCCACAGTCAGGAGACTCAAAGCATTGTCAGATCTACTCCATTAATTTCCAATTCCTGCACTGTGGGTTAATACTCTTTGAACAGTGAAGATGACATCATTTTGAACTAGAAACTAATTTTAAATTGCCATGCTTAGTTTAGTTTCCTGCTTGAATAGGTCACAGTCTGCCAACTCCTTCCCGGATTCAAAAATGGGATATATAACAGAAGTTGAGCAGGACCACCACATTCAGGCAGGTTTCCTAAGATTTATTAGAAGTCTCCCGTCGACCCGAAATCATGAAATTCGGGTCCTCAATATTTTGAGTTTTATACCAATGGAATCATTACTTTTTTTTGTTGCAGATGAACAACATGGAGGAATTTATGGACTAAGTACTTTTTCCTGCTCCCCCGCCCCCAATCTAGAGTACTTCTAATGGAAATACCTACTTGGTTGCCTGACGTTCTCTAAAAATATTACATTACACTGCTACCACAAATTTTGCAGTTTAAAGCTATCAGTGTAAAACTGGTTCTTTGACTTGGAGAGACAATAAAGTCAAAGACATGAGAATGTTCCTTTGCTGTGACGAGAACTAAAACTTCAACTGTCCTCATCCTTTTCCTGCTGCTGCTCTGATTCATTCTTCTAATGTAATTTTTCGTCACAAGCTTTAGTTCAAAATGGTACAAATGTTAGAATTGTCAGATAACAAAATGAAACACAGAACTGTACACTACATATGTAACATAACATTACATACCATGCATTTGTTGGTTGATTTTATTGCATGAATCTAAACAAAGGTTTACAATATATAACAAAAGATTTGTTTCCTCAAACCCAGCATTCATTATTTAATAAATAAATCATGTGACTAAAAATGATCTGATTTCTCCCATAAGTATTTGTTTGTAGCTCCAGAACAAATACTACTTTTATATTAAACATAGTTTCAAAGCTTCATTGCTGACTATTTTAGGCCAGAAATAAAAACAGTACAGGTAATGAACATTTCACAGACAAAGCAGCATATTTAAACCTCGAGTTTGGAACAACTGTACCTTTGCTCTACTGAGTCACCTATTTATTGTCATTCAAGAGTTTGATGAACAAGTGGGACAATAATAGCGATTCTGAATCTAAATATTCATTCAACTTGCATCCATCAGCAACCAAGTATTTCATTTTAGAGGACTGTTACAGCTTTCAGAAAGGATACCTCAACCCACCTGACTTGTTGAGAATGAAACCCAGATTTTTAGGAAGTGTTTGAGGGCATTACCCTGCTCAGTATCTATGGCTATCACTTCATCCGTGTGAATCATTAACTACGCTACAGAGACATTGTAGCTGATCTTAATAAAAATCCAAGCATCGTACCACTTCTCACATTTCATCATGTCAGCAGAATATTTCAGATATATTTTAAGCACAGAAACCATACACGCTCCACAGAATATACAAATACTATTTACCAAATAATTTGACTCAGTAAGTGACCTGAATCACCAAACAAGCACAGTCTTACCTAAAACACCAAGCCGGTAGTTGACAGTGATGACTATGACATTGCCATAACTTGCCAGTACACTTCCATCAAGTATATTTCCAGTGCCCTCCATGTATGATCCACCATGGATGAATACCATAACAGGTTTAGGTCCACTATCTCGAATATCTGAAAAATGAGACATAGTTCAAAAGGTTTGGAACCAGAAAGAACAACAGTATAAGATTATTGCTTGTTTTGTAATAATGACAAGTTTGCTAAAAGGAGACAGGAAGTCAAAACATTTTGACTTGTACTTATCAAAACAACGATACAAGAAACAAACTTGAAAAAAATGGATGCCAATTTATACAGCATGAGAAGAGGGTGCTGATTTGTTGGGCCATTGGTGGCATGGAGATGGTAGCAAAGACAGTTAACTGTCAATCTTAGTTCTCAGGATAGGCAGGTAGACTCTGACTGATCAGGACATTGCTACTGAAATGCTGCATGTCTCCTTTTAACAATGTTTTAGTTCTGTACACTGAGAAATTATCAATTAAAAAGGTTGTGTGGTATCTAACTTTTAAAAAAAGAGCATATGTTTCTCAAGCAAATGTTTACGGATAATTTCATTAATAATCTATTAAAGCAATTTCTCTTCTGATGTTGGATTATGACTGATTTTAGGGACTATTGAAACTCAATTCAAAATGTTATTAGTGAACAAGCTGTGCTTCACTAAAAATAACTTGTATATACATGGCAATATTTGGAATTGGGTTGGATTTGACAACTGGACAGGAATAAGTCCTAATGGTTACTGTAATTGTGTTTATAAGCAATGAGGTAAGATCCCTATTCCAGATAGAATATATGACAATGATAATGAAGGCATGGTAGCAGAATAAACTACTACAATCTACACAAATACAGTTGAAGGCTTCTTCAAACTAATTTCCCTACAATTACTTCATATTAATATCAATTCCTTCATAAATTAACTAAAATAACATTGATCACTGACTTAAATTCTGCATAAATTAAGGGTGCCAAGATCCTTCTAATTAACAGTCTGGTGACTTTATAGTCAGATTAAAACAAACCAAACAAGCATGTTTTTTTAAAGAAATAGTGCTCCAACTAAATTCAAATAGATCCAAATTTATGAAAATGTTTAAAAGATGCCACAGATAGGACTGATTACATGGCATAAAATTATGCTATTTACAATGATCCAATATGGTAAATATTTTCTTTCAGTTAATTCATTAAATTTCTCAAGATCAGTTATGCCTTTATGAAAGACACCTGCTGCTCTCCTGATGATGGATGACAGAAGTATACTTCTGTCGTGAAACATTATTATTATATAATATTGTAGTGGTAATGGTGCAACTTCCATTAAAGTATACAGCAAGATCACAGCAGCAGTGTAATGATAGTTTTGCTATTTTGTTTTAAAAAAAGAAAATGTGAAAATACAAACAGATTCCACTTCTGTAGTGAGAAATGAAAAGGAAGCAAGCAAATAGTGAAACTGGAGAAAAATATATAAAAAGTGGAGAAAGTGGACTGGGATATCAAGTGCTCACTAAACTAAAAGGCTTGAGGAGAGACTTAAACATAGCAAAAGGTTGCAAGGAAAAGGAAACAAGACTGAGTGTTCTTAGGCAGAAGTGTAATGGCGAAACGTTTGGCTACCAACAGTGAAGTGGATCTCAGTGATATAAGGCAGGATGATAAATTGCCAAATTAGGTGGGAGTATGTAACACAGGAATATGAATCCATCAGTGAAAATTCTGCAATGAGCTCACAGATGCACAAGTTGGACAAAGAGACTTTGGGAGTGGTAGCAACATGAAACTTTACTGAGAATACAGTCTGAAGAAGGTAGACAAATTGAAGCTTGCTTGGTTGAGGCACAAAAGCTTCCTGCATTAGAAAAGTCAATCCTTGCTGTGATAAATTCATCATTAAAGTTTTGATATTGGCTCAATGAGTCAGAGATGTAACTGAAGAATGTAGCAAGTACTTTGGACTAATTGAGGATGCAGAAAGGTGGAGTTTTAGAACATCACGATTTGATAAAACATGTACAATCATGTAATCTACATTCTGCTCCTGATCTTAATATGTTTGTGTCATGTATGGGTGCAGCATTGCTGGGAGAAGCCACAAGCAACATACAATCAAACTGGAATTTACATATCTGGACACTATTATAAAGAAAGCCAACAGTTATTATACGGTACCAAATACGTACTTCTAAATGCTACATCCAACTACACTTAATTTTTTCCAAATGCCCAGCACTCTAATCTCTCCAACAAATATTGGATACATGAAAAAAAAACTTTGCTTGAGAAGCATTTAATTTTGAAATAATTAGGCCGTATGTGAAGAACAATATTGTATCGATCTATGAATTGATAACATGTATAGGTGGCTGTGACATGATTCAAGAATAGACCATATGCACCTGATCTGTTTTTCTAGTACCTGCAAAAAGCAAAGAATTTGAAGGCATGCATTAACACTAGCAGAAAGATAATATTGCTTTAATATGTCAAATGATATGATTTCTGAGCTGATACCACATTTAAAAAGATGTAACATTTACATCAACATAAAATGTGTTTAAAAAATTGTTCAAATCGTATTTCGTGGAGGTGTTTTTTTTTCCCTAAATTGCTAGAGTCAAGTACTGTGGAAGAATAATTCTAAAGTAAAAAAAAGTAAAAAGAAAAGGATAAAATGTCAATAACAAGCAATAAGACAAAAAATTTGAAAACTAAGTGCTAAAAATCTGCACTTCAAAAATGCATTAAAAATATATTTTCAGAGGGACGAAAAATTTCGACGGTCATTGTCATGCATATTCGTTTGGCGTCAAAAAAATACCTTCATCTTCTGCGCCATCATTATCACCTAAATCATCAGCCTGTTTCTTTGCAAGGGGACCTAGGATTAAAAATGAAGAAAATGGAGGAAAAAAAGAGAATTCAAGAACATACAAGACTTCAGAAGACCTAGAAAATATTGTTTTAAAACCTTTCTTGAAAAATTGAAATGTAAAATGCATTTGTTTAAAAAAATTGAAAATATATAAAAAGATTAAAAAATTAAAACACTTTACATATTTAAGAAGTTTTGAGTTACAGCATAAGCTTTTTAACCATTATGTATAGAAATAATTATGTACCAAATGCAAAAATATTGTATCAGTATACCCACCATTTCAAGAAAAGAGAAAAACCTGAAATCCTTTCTTAATAATTAACCTGTTCGACCCAATGTACAGGTCGCAATATCAAAAGTGTCAAGTCTCTTTAGTTAATTATTTTCCAAAGATGTCATTCTGAAAATAATGTAAATAGCTTCGAATAACTTTTAAATGCAGTTCACAAAATGCAGAAGAGGAACTTTTTTCCCCCAGAGATTTTCCCAGAAATAATAAAAGTGGAACATAATGCAATGAAAGGCTTTTGAAGCCATCTACTTGTGATGTTTACTAGCCAAAAGCAAAAATCATCCAAATTAATTTAGGTTGGAATCTTTCTCAAAGTCATTATCTACATTTGACATATCCTAAATATGTTACACTGTACTGCATCATAAACTTACAATGGAATAATTCTGATCTAACTTAAAAGTGAAATGATTTGAAAATGTTGTTATCTACTATAAAAACACAAGGATGCAATATATTAATATCACGTCTATATTAAATACCAAACAAAATTCTTAAAATCAATTATATACCTTCTGAAGGTATATATAGTAACAAAATTTATATTAGATAACATACAGTAACAAATTATATAATGTATGTGTCAAAGATCACAATGACAGCACAAACCGAACAAGCAGTCTATATAAAAACCAAAAGAACTGTGGATGCTGTGAATCAGGAACATCAGCAAAGTTGCTGGAAAAGCTAAGCAGGTCTGGCAGCATCTGTGAAGGAAAAAAAGAGTTAACATTTTGGGTCCGGTGACCCTTCCTCAGTTCTGAGGAAGGGTCACCAGACCTGAAACATTAACTTTGTTTTCTTCTTCACAGATGCTGCCAGATGTGCTAAGCTTTTCCAGCAACTCTTTTTTTGAAGCAGTATATATATGTAGATTATAGATTTATACTACAATGTAAACTTTTTTTAAACTTAATTTCATCCCTTTACTTTAATAATTATTTTTAGATATTGTCCAGTAGTAGAGTGTCAAAATATGGTGGAAACTCATTCCTTCCTGTAGCAGAGTACACATTTTATAACATTCAGAGATGCAATACAAGCGTTTATAAACTTTCAGCAGCCAGAACAGGACACAATACAATATACGAACAAGCATTTTAGTGTCATGCAAGCTCTAATGGGAATAATCACAGCGTGTCCAACAACATTCTGACAGAAAATACTTCTAACAAAGGACTTAAGTGCTCATGCTGACTAAGTATCAATGTTTTTTTGCATGCACTGCAAGGTAGGATATTTAGGAACAATGAACATGGATTGCAAGATCATACAGCAAGCATAAATCTTGAAGACTGAAACTGTGAATTTTGTACTTTTTTCTTGATAAAGCCTTCCACAGATTTTTAATTTGCTGTGATACTTCTGAACACTGACTTTGACATGATACCCATAAGAAAGTACAAGATTGACATCCTTTGTCTCCTATTTTTGTCAAAACCGTCTTAACAAACAATTTATTTGAGGAGTGCACACATATGCTTTAAAAATGATTAAATATATCAAGTTCAAGATCCTGAACAAAAGAGTCTTATGCAATGGCTTAAATGACTGTCTTGCTTAACAGCATTATTTTTGGGCAAATAATCATTTTGATGTTTTTCACAATACAAAAATTAAGGCAATTAAAATTCCTTGTACAGCAAATAAAAAAAATCTTGCTAATGATATCAAATTGGACAAATTATGAAAATGTCTCAAATTTTAACACAAATTGTAACACTGTAACACAAGTATATACAAGTGAATAACTAGCCTATCATTTTCAAAGGGCTTCCTACATGTACAATTGAGTGTTCAGGCAGTTACATCTTATTGCTAAGTATTCACGTGCATGATCAAAATCTGATCGCTTCAACGGTGCAAGTGGATTGGTTGGAAGTTGAAGAAGTATTTCTAAAGGTGCTGTAATGTTGGTAGCGGTGGTGGTTGGGGGTTAAGACTGCAAAATTACATCATCTGCAAATTGCTAACACCTTCCTGGCAATGTCTTGAAATTATAATTGCAATTGACTTCTTGGCAGAACACATTAGTACTATTGATACTGCTGTAAGTTGAATTTTGATAAAACAAGAAACTTCACATGTTTAAGAAACATTTAAGAAATCAAAGTTTTTCAGTACTGGGCTGAAGATGATGTCAGCTCGACATACTCTGCAATCATGTTAAAATGCATCTATGAAGTGTACGTAATTCTTCAGTTCACATTATACCACATATCAGATAATTATGTTGCTATTAATAATTATCAATAGATCAATATGGGCCAGATATTCTGGAGACAGACATACGACACAAGGCAACCTTTAGGATCATAAGGAAGCCCTGACACACTGACCTCCCAGCAAATCAACCAGGGAGCTTGAACTTCTGACAGGAAATTCCTCTGTTACCTCAAAACTATTTACAAAAGTGTCTGACACTGATCTAAAGTTGGAGACCTCACATTAGTACCACACAATTGTTTGAAGAGTAATTTTTTTAATGCTCTCATGAGATGTGGGTATCACTGGCTGGCCAGCATTTAATGCCCATCGTTAGTTCCTCTTGAGAAGATGTTGGTGAGCCATTTTCTTGGACCACTGTAACCCAGAATGAGCAGATTTACCATAGTGTAGTTAGTGGGTGGGGAGGGTTACTGGATTTTGTCCTTGTGATACTGAAGTAACAGTAATATATTTAGTAATATATTTCCAAGTCAGGATGATGTGTGACTTGGAAGGGAACTTGCAGGTAAAGATGTTCCAATGCATCTTCTGCTCTTATTCCTCTGGGTCGGAAAGATGCTGGGTTTGAAGGGTATTGTAACAAGTTACACAGCATATCAAATAAATGGTACATAATACTATCACTGCGTGCCTGTGGTGAAAACTCAATTGAATCTGCTTCCACCATATTTTCAGGCAGAGCATTCTAACTATATAAAATTAATTTTCCTTGTATCACTGTTGCTTCTTTTATTCGATCCCCTTAAATTGATGCCCTCTAGTTCTCAAACCTCTGGCAAGAAGAACATCATATCTTCATCTACGTCCTTAAACATCTAATTATTTTGAACATCACCATCAAATCTCCTCATAATCTTCACTTCTGTAATGAAAACAGTCCCACTTCTCCAATTTATCAGAATTGCTGAAATTCATCATCCCTGGAATCGTTACAATTTTTTTCCCCCCCAGTCTTTCACATCCTTCACAGAGTAGTGCCCAGACCTGGATACAGTACTTTGGTTGAAGCATATCTTACTATTATCCTCTTTGCCCTTATTTATAAAGCCCAAAGCCCTATATGATTTCTTGGCTTTTCATTTTATTAACGACTCCTGCCACCTTTAATAATTAATGCACAAATACCCAGACATCCCTCCTACAGACCCCTTAGAATTGTATCCCTTATATTTAGATTGACGTTTATTCCTCGTACCAAAATGAATTTTCTTGAATTTCTTGGTTTTAAATTTCAATTTCCATGTGCCAACCATTCCACCAGCCTAAGTCATTTTCAAGTTTAACACTATGGTCTTTACAATTTACAGTACATCCAATACTTAGGAAAATTTTGAAATTACAACCAATGTTCAGACAGTCTAACTGCTGAATTTGCCGTGGTTTCACTGCAATTTCCCTCATGCAATCTTCTGTTGTCCACCTCATTAAATATTTTCTCATGTTCTTCAGTGCCCTTATTGTAGAATTACACAGCAGGTGAGGTGCTTGCTGCTGCCAGAACTTCTGGTATTGATGCCACTGGCATCATGTTCAAAGCTCAGCTGCATATCACTTCATACATTGCAAGTCAGGTACTGCACTTCACACTGTCACTGAGGCTGCGTCATTATCAGAGAGCGCATGACCCGAAAAGGCATTTTAATTTTGTCCCTTGCTGACAGTGACCTAGAGTGTGGTGAAGACGAGGGCAGCGCTTTAGAACATAGAACACAGAACATAGATCAGTACAGCACAGTACAGGCCCTTCGGCCCACAATGTTGTGCCAAACTTTTACCCTAATCCTAAGGTCTATCTAACCTCCACTCCTACCATCATTCATATGCCTATCTAATAGCCGCTTAAATGCCCCTAATGAGGCCGACTCCACTACCCTCTCCGGCAATGCATTCCACGCCCCGACCACTCTGATTAAAGAACCTACCTCTGACGTCTCCTCGATATCTACTTCCACTCACTTTAAAACTATGTCCCCTCGTAATAGCTACCTCCACCCTAGGAAAAAGTCTCTGGCTGTCCACTCTATCTATACCTCTAATCATTTTGTACACCTCTATCAAGTCACCTCTCATCCTTCGTCGTTCTAAAGAGAAAAGCCCTAGCTCTCTCAACTTTTCCTCGTAAGATCTTCCCTCCATTCCAGGCAACATCCTGGTAAATCTCCTCTTTTCCAATGCTTCCACAGCTTTCCTGTAATGAGGTGACCAGAACTGGACACAATACTCTAGATGTGGCTGAACCAGGCTTTTGTATAGCTGGAGCATAACTTCACGGCTCTTGAACTCAATCCCTCTATTAATGAAAGCTAACACGCCATACGCCTTCTTAACAACTCTATCCACCTAGGTGGCAGCTTTCAGGGAACTGTGGACACGAACCCCAAGATCTCTCTGCTCCTCCACACTGCCAAGAATCTTTCTGTTAACCCTGTATTCTGCTTTCAAGTTTGTCCTTCCAAAATGAATCACCTCACACTTTTCAGGG